GGTTCTGAATACTATTCAGGTTCCATCCAGAAGTGGGTAACCTTTCTGGGACAACCATGAAGGACATTGGTGAAGGGAAATCTTCATAGTGGGCAGAACTCTGGGGAGTGCACATGGTCATGATCATGCATTTTACTTGGCATATAAACGACCAGATGTGTTATTATATACTGACGTATGAACTATAGCTAGTGGTTTAGCTGGATAGTCAGAGACTTGGAAAGTTGGTGTGAAAGACAGGGGAGGAGTATGTGGGCAAACCACTCCAATTGTGAAGATAATTGTGTCTCATATAGGTGCTCACTAAATCCTAACATCAGCAGAAGATTTTAATGACCAAGTATATAGGTTGACTGTTCTGTGAGTACTCATTGATTTTTTATTCCTGCCACCATCATCTTTGGCTCAATGGACACATGAACATGGTCGTCATGGTGGCACAAATGGAAGGTACACATGGCTTCAAACAACATGAACTTCTATTCCCAAGGCTGACCTGGTACAACTGCTGCTCAGTGTCAAATCTGGAAACAACAGGGCCTAATACTGTGTCCCTAATATTGCACTACCTTACAGCGTGAGCAGCTAGAAACCAGGTGGACTACATCTGTCTACTTCTGTAGTAAAAGTGGCAGTGATTTATTCTTACTGGAAGAGATACTTATTCTGGTTATGGATTTGCCTTTCCTGCAGATAATGCTTCTGATAAAACTACCATTTTTGGACTTACACAATGCTTCAGTATTCTACATATTTATTGTTTCTGACCAAAGAACTCACTTCATAAATAAAGGAGTGTGACAGTAGTTGTATTAGTTACACTTCTAGTGTGATGATAAAACATCACAACCAAAAGTAACTTAAGAAAGAAAGTTTATCTTGACTTACGGTTCCAGACAGTGACGGCCATAACGGTAAGGCTGGCATGGAAATTGACAGGCAGAGCAGCAGGAGCTCATATCTCAACCACACGCAGGAAGCAGAGAGAGAGAGAACAGGAAGTTGGGTGTGTCTATAAGCCCCCAAATACCACCCCTTGTGAAGTACTTACTTCAGTAAGTACTTTTTATTCCTGCCACCATCATCTTTGGCTCAATGGACACATGAACATGGTCGTCATGGTGGCACAAATGGAAGGTACACATGGCTTCAAACAACATGAACTGTGCCTCCTAAACACTCTATAACCCTCCCCAAACAGCACCACCAACTGTTGTCCATTGTTCAAATACTCAAGCCCATGAAGGACATTTCTCATTCAAATGGTCATGTTCTCCATCACCTTCAAGTAGCTGGCTTGAATAAATGGTAGAATGGCTTTTTAAAAACATGGTTACATGCCAGGCGTTGGTGGTGCACGCCTTTAATCCCAGCACTCAGAAGGCAGAGGCAGGCAGATCTCTGTGAGTTCGAGGCCAGCCTGGTCTCCAGAGCGAATGCCAGGATAGGCTCCAAAGCTACACAGAGAAACCCTGTCTTGAAAAAAAACAAAAAACAAAAAAAACAAAAACAAACAAACAAACAAACAAAAAACCATGGTTACAATGGAGGAAAGTGGTTAGGACTAGAAAATATTATATTGAGATAACTGAACATCAATTCTCTCTCATAGGTGGATCCTATCATCTAACCTTTATATATGTGCATTTAGGTGGGAGTAACTGTGTAGATCCCAGGAAACCGGTTCCATGCAAAGGGAGAAAAGGCATCTTTGGTGGAAGTAGAATGTGTGTCATATGAAGATGGAAAGGGGAATGCTGGGAGTGGAGAGGTATAAGGGGCTGTGGCTGGGACACAGGGGAAAAGAATCAGTCAAAAATAAGGATGTTTGAAAACACCACAAAAAACATGATAAAGTTACAAAACTAGAGTTAATAGTTTGAATGGAGGTAACTTGTGTAGGTATAAAAGATGACCCCAGGAGTCATGGGTTATTTAACAAACACCTGTGCCAGAGATGAGATACCGCCCTATGGGTTGTTTCTCAGTGAATCCAATGGGGGGGGGGATGCTGTGGCTACTGTTTGCTCATCTGTACTAGACAGTAAGACCAGATTGCTGAAGATGCCCCATTCCTTGACCACAAGACATAGAACATCAAGCTAGAGTGTGGCTAGAAATTTCTTCCTTGCTGGTTGTCTCTCATAGTGCCGAAAGGTGCTACACAGGGAGAATTGCTGTCAACAGTCTTACTTAGATGTGGCCACTGTGTGCAACCACATTGAATGGCCAGATAAGAAAAGCCCACTAGTACAACGGCGGGTGGGGGATAGCCAACAGCTATCTGAATAGATTTGATGTTAACCAACAGGAAAGAATTCGCAGTCAAAAGCCTGTGGTTAGGGAAGTTGTATTTCCTAATGGGGAAGTAAGTACTGCTGCTTGATGGACATGGTGTCCCCATCAAACTGCAGTTCTAAACATGGGTAGCTCTAGAGAACTGTTTATGTCCACAGGAAAGTAGTTTCTGGTTTTGGTCAGTGAAATTTCTTTCTGCAGTGGTCAGTGGTGACTAAAGAAATACAACTGGTCAAAGTACTTCAAATAAATGATCACTGATTGTTCAGCAATACATGAGCCATTTATGTAGTAGCTAAGTAGAAGACTCAGTGACTATCACAGAAAAGAGGGTGGGAAAAAATCTAAGAGCTGGAGGAAGAGAGAGAGAGAGAATGATACGGAGTGATGACTTCTGGACATGATATGATTCAACAGTCATATCAAAAACACTCTCAGACTCACAGCAGCTAGGATTGCTTATACAAGATAGGCAGTACTGTCAACACTCTAGGGAAGGAGAGATACTTGGGGAGTCCCACCCCTTCCTGAGCCTTTATTTACGGCAGTTAGTGGTTGATAGGGAAAGGAACCACATTTTCTTCAAGTACAGCCACTGGTAAGGTGCCCACAGTCCTGTAGAGCATCCCCAATGAAATTCGCTGCGTCACAAAAAGAAACATTGAGGCATGGAAGTGGAAGAGGGCTAGTTAGGAAGGGAGAGAGTATTAGTGGGAGTGGAGGGATGCAGGAGAGGATAAGAGGGCGGAATATGATCACGATACATGATGTGCATGTATGAAAATATCATAATGAATTCCATCATTATGAGTAATTAATATAGGCTAATAAGAACCTACCCTCAGTTCCCCCTAGAAAAGATGCAGTTGTACAGCCAGCTGGGAGGCATCACCCTGGAATGCTGAGGTTCTGCAGGCTATATATGCTCAATTCAGTGCCCGATATATGGTTTCTCCTGTTACTCAGGATTCACAGGTCCAGGAAGCAGACGTGGAAATGGAAATGGTACCTCCCCAGTGAGCTACCAGCCAAACTTCTGTTCTTGCTCCCACAAGCTTATGCTCTGCTGGCCTGGGAGTCTTGGTTCCAGAAGGGGGAGTGCTTCAGACAGGAGGCACAGGAGGGAGCCCACTGAGCTGGAAGCTGAGATTTCTCTCTAGCCACTTTGGGTTCCTGATGCCCTTCAGACAACAGGCTGAGAGTAGGAACAATAGAGTTAGGAGGGGTGATTGACCCAGACAAAAGGGAAATTGGATTGTTTCTCCTCAATGGAGGTAAAGCCGTGCATATCAAATGCAAGAGATATGCCTTGTGATTAAAGTTAATGGGAAGCTAGAACAATTCAATCCAGGCAGGAAGATACAGGACCCAGACCCTTCAAGAGTGTATGGGTCCTCCTCCAGGTGAAGAACCAAGACTGGCTGAGGTGCTTGCTGAAGGCAGAGGGACTGTGGAATATGCTGTGGAAGAGTTATAAACTCCAGGTAGGGCCACAAGACCTGTTACTGTCCTGAGTATCTGTTTCTGTCCTAATTTTGTTAAGAACATGTTTGAATAAATAGACTCATTTATTGAGCAAATATTTGTGTTTTCTTTCCTTTTTTTTTGTTCCTTTACCCTGTAATATAATGACTGAGATAATATCAGTAATTAAATGTTCTTAAATTTATATTGTCCTAGTTAAGCTATAGGATACTAAAAGACCATGCATTCCTCAAGGGGCCTGGCCATTTATTCTGACGGAAGAATGGTGCATTTTCAGTGGTACATGAGATAACTCTATAATGTTAGGCAGAATTATGACCTTGTCGTTGTCCTCTTTTGAAAATTAAGCATGGCAAAAGAGATGGCTTGATTGACCCAACTAAAAAACACGTTTCTAAGAAGCCCCTCCCCTAGAGTGGGTGGCCCTTTCCTGTGGTAACCACCTAAATAAAAGGAAGTCTGAAGGGGAAAGCGTGTTGGCTTGCTTGCCTCCATTTCCTGCTGGTGAGAGCATTCATCTCTATTACTGCTGTCCTTCTCCTCTGATACCCAGCTTCTCCAGGATCTCACATGGACTGAAAATATTCAGGAATCTTCCAGGCACCAGACTTGGAACTGCTGAGGTATCTGACTTTGTAACGTGAGCATCAGACTGGGCTGTCAGGACCCACCCAGCACACTGTAAGTCATTCTAGAAAACCCTATTTTCTGTATATGCACTCTGTCAGGTTCCTGAGAGAACCCTGTCCAATGCAGTCTGTTTCTCTCTCTTCTTTTCCCAGAAAGCCTTCCCTCTCTCTCCTTTTAGCCTAGCTCAGCGGGGCCTGCTCCAGGAAAAAAGATAAAGAAAATTACTAAATGACCTTTGATTTGAGAAACTAAGGTTATATTTCAACCCAGGTCCTGGAGCCCTGGGAGGCCCACTGATTCATTTCAGTTCTTCCCTGCCCTTAATTTCTCATCTGTCATATTGCCTCTTTTTCCATAACCATTCACAACAAGAAATCAGTCTACTTTCAGTATTTATTCCATTAATCTGCTCCTAATCTTTCCGGTGCTCATTCTTAATAGAAGCAGATGACTTTTTAAAGAAGTTTCATCTTGTGTTCTCTGAGAGGATCTGGCCTTAAAAGTCTCCCTCATCCCACAAGACAAAAGGAGAAATCTGCCAGCTTTAGCCTTGAGTTTGTTTTTCAGCTGAGGAAAACGGGCAGGCAATGGAGAAAGAAGAGGGAAGAGAGTCTGCTTCCCAGGCCACAGTGGAGAACGGCATTGAGAACCTAGGTCTGGAACTCATGGTAATGCATGTATTTGGAGCTGCAGTGTGGCTTTAGCTGCTTTCTCAGTCTGTTGACTCTCTGATAGGGCTACATGGCCGATCTCACCTTTACTTTTGTTTACAGGAAAGAGGAGATCCTGAGAGAAACAAAAAGATAGACTCAACACAGGAACACAGCCTGAAGGATGGCCAGGGGTAAGGATGTTCCAGAGTCCAGCTTAGAACTTGGGGGTGGGGTGGGGAAGAGAAGTGAGTGAAAGAGAGCAAAGCTATTCATTCTTGGACTGCTTCACTCACAGACAAACCAGAATCACTGCACAGTCCCACATGTATGTGTTTTTATTTTGTAGAATTAACTGAAGCATCAGCCCATGACAACAATAAGTCCATCAGTGTCTGCTTAGATGACATTAAAAAATAGCAATAGCAATAATAACAGTAATAATGGCTAACATTTATCGAATGCTGTTATGTGTAATTAATTTAATTTTTATAACAGGCAAGTACTAATTTTAATACTTTGATTTAAATTAGAGCACTGAGACTTAGGAATGAATGTACTCATATCTATTAAAACAAAACAAAACAAATCTCTCCGAGGCCAGGCCTTGTGGTGTATGCCTCTAATCCCAGCACTTGGAATGGCAGAGGTGGACTGATCTCTATGAGTTTGAGGCCAGCCTGGTCCACATAGTAAGTTCTAGACCAGCCAAGGCTACATAGTGGAAACCTGTCTAAAACAAAACAAAACAAAACAAACCCCACCTCTGCCATGACCAAACATTTCTGGAATGCCCAAACAAAAGGACTTTCTATGGAGACTAGAAAGAGATGATTATTTGGGAGTTAAGGGAAGGGCCTGATGAGGGAAGCTACAGTCCTTAGTGCTGTGTGCTCAGAGTTGAGGAGGGAGGAGTGACCAAAAATATTTGAATTTGAACATGGACCCGCTGTCATTTCTAATGTCAAAGGACAGTTCGGGTAAACTTGCTCAGCTGGAAGCCGTGTTCTGTGGTGTGAAAGGCCAGGAATTGCTAAGCATACAGAGCAGAATACTGGGTAGGTGGTGCAGGGGGTGTGAAGCTATGACCCAAAGACGCTCTAGGATAAAAGATTATTTTTGTTTGTTTTTTCCTAAAAATTAATTAACTCAGTAACATCTTCACCTTTTAATTGTCTCATGTTCTATAATTTCCACAATTCGTTTTATTTATTTATTTATTTGTCTTTGAAACTGAGTTTCTTGTAACTCAGATTCTCCTCAAAGTCACTATGAAGCTAATACTGGCACTGACCTGCTAGTCCTTGTTTATAACTCTGAGGTGCTAGAATTACAGACCTGCACCATCATACCCTGCCTAGTTAGCTGTAAACTTTTATATAAAATATCTATATCAATTGATGCATACTTTATATTTCAATATATTTTTGTTTTTCTACTTTATTTTTGGGTTTTTGAGAAAGGTTTTTTTGTGTAGTCTTGACTGTCCTCTTCCTGCCTCTGCAACCCGAGTACTGGGATTAAAGCTGTGTGCCACCACATCCAGCTGCTTTTCTACTTCTAAAAAAACATTATTTTTATTTTATGTTTATAAGCGTTTTGCCTCCATGTATGTATGCATGTCCATCACATGTGTGCAGTGCCAAAGGCAGCCAGAAGAGGGCACCTGTGGGTATTAGGCTCCAAATCTGTATCCTTGTAACTGATGAGCCATCTCTACAATCCTCTACTTATCTTTTTATGCCATGTATCTACTACTTGAACAATCAACTGTATATTTTTTGTAATCACAATATTTCATATTTTGGTTAGCAGTTTAGCAGTCAACAGTGTTAATTCTGTTTAGAATTATATCTGAACTCTATGAAGCAATGTACTGGTTTCTTTGGTTTGTTTTTTTCTTGTTTGGTTTTGAGTCTTTTCTTCTTTTTGTTTTGTTAGAATATTACTATGTAGTCACAGATGGTCTGGTACTCACTTGATAAGCTAGGGTGGTATTGAATTTACAACTGTTCTCTTACCTTATCTTCCTGAGGGCTGGGTTATATGCAGGCTGTTAAATGCATAAGAGTGGAATCTCTTGCCAGTATAGTGGTGCATGTCTGTCAACCCATGAATTCAGAAGCTGAGGCAGGAGGTTGAGTTCTGGTCTCGATGAGTATGAGAATAGTTTGGGAAGTATAGTAAGATCCTCTTTCTGAAAAAATATTTTTCTCTTTGAGCACAGTTTAGACATGGATATTACAGATATATTTTCTTACCTACCAGGTAAGATTAGCAGTTTAGTTTGTGTAGTCTCTGATGCATTTACTCAACTCTGCCACTTTAGTGAGAAAGAAGCCACAGATAACAATAAACAAATGGGCAGGGTATATTCTAATAAAACCTTATTTAAAAGTATGTAACATTTACACACTTAGCCCACCCACCACTACAGTTGTCAACCTTTAATGGAGAAGAGCTAATACAGCAAGCTTAGATCTGTAGCATTGACAGATTGTGTAGGTACTCCATGGTTGATATGAAGTTACCAAAGGGAGGCCACTGAACAAGACACCAAGAAGAGAAGCATACTAGCGTTACCTCAACCATCACATGTAACGGGTGTGAAGATCCTCAAGAATTTGAACTCTTTAAATTCTAGTAAAAACTTCATGCTCCCCCTCCGGGTTACACTCCTCTACTTCTAAACGTGACTTGCTAATCATCTATGTGGTGGATGTGGGACTTTTAACTTCATCCTCTTATTCCTTAATTATTCAAATAGCACCTATGCTTTTGCTTGCAAAAGAAATATACACATGGTCCCAACCTGAAATTGGCATGGGGCATAGTCATGAGATAGAACAGCATCCCTGGGAAGACTCCACTGCCTATCAGAACAAATGCAACCTCCAACTTGGAGAGAGAAGGGCTCTGGAAGGAAGAAGCTGAGGGTAGGTTGGACAACCCACTGTATAGGTTCTTCATGTCTGTCTGTCTGTCTGTCTGTCTGTCTGTCTGTCTGTCTGTCTGTCTGTCTATGGAGCATTCTTTTTCTGTTGCTCAGGCTAGCCTCATGCTGCCTTTCCCTGCTAGGTTTTCCCCTGGCTTTCCAGTCCCTACTTGGCTTTCCACATGGATTATTAACATCTTTTTGTTTTGGAGACAGTTTCCTGTGCAACAATAACATCCGGCTTTTAAGTTCAGAACCAGTTGTGTACATAACTGACAATGGAAAAGTGGTGCTTCAGATGATGAGTTTGTGATTAGGAAGACAAGGGCACATCTCGTGCCTGTGACTTATTTCTACTATCAGAGTGTGACCCCTCTTGTGTTGTAGTAGCTTTGTACAGCTGGAATTTAATTGGGTGTAAAAATAAGACCTTTGACGTTTTGAAAGACTCTGGTCCCCTGTGCTAAGCAATCCTCACCCTTTGCGCACACCATCAATTGATTCTGGGTTGACTCTTTTATTTCCTTCTTCAAGCTGGAGTAGCAAAGATCCAGGCAGGGGCCACAGTGTCTGCTGTCACTGAAGCTGGATTCCCTGAGAGCTCACTCAGGCTTTCCACATTAATGGCTAAATGAATTAACTCCAGGTTCTAGCAGTCTCCAAGACTCCATCTCCCTCAGTTGGGAGGAGAGTTTCTATATCTTGCAAGTAGGTTTACTAAGAAAATCCATGAACATCTTTGTTGCTGGATCTGATGGTGACTAAAGTCATGTTCAGCTAGTACTTCTGATTATGCTCACCTATCTCCTTTCCACCTATCACTTGGGGATGCAGGCAGTAAGCATGTGAGAATGTTGTCGTCTGTCAATACCCAGAAAGCCTCCCATACAAACGCTTGGAGGCAGAGGCAAAGCATCAATGTTCACTCACCTAGCGGTTAAACATCTCAATTCAATTTCTAGTTATAGCACAGATACTAATGCTCAAACTGTACCACTATGTGGTATAAAGATCTTGGTACTGTTAGCAGGATGCTGGACCAGGCAGGAAACAGAGCTCACGGGCACTTACACATGTGCTTTTGTGAACTGCTTGGTTAGTTTAAAAGGTTGAAAAATCTTTACTTGTTTTGTTTTAGAACATTTCTCATTTACAGTCCATCATCGTTTTGTTTGTTTGTTGAGACAGGGTTTCTCTGTGTAGCCCTGGCTGCTTTGGAACTCACTCTGTAGACCAGGCTGGCCTCAAACTCACAGAGATCCACTTGCCTCTGCCCCCCAAGTGCTGGGATTAAAGGTGTGCACCACCACCACCCAGCTTTTTTGTTTTCTTTTTATCACCAGAGGCTCAGTTCTAACTCGTTATTCAAGGATTCCATTGTTCATGGGTTTTGCAAATATTTTTAAGTAATTTCTGATGTACTTTAGTTCCCAGGAAATGGTGGGTTTGTGGTGAAGAGGTGATGGCAGAAATGCTAAACCTGTAATTTCTGTCTACTCTTTGACCAATATATGGACCTTCCTATTTTGCAGTGGCTTTGCTTGAATGTCATTTAATTGGACATAGCTTCAAGCCAGCTTCACCTTATGTATTAGGAAACAGGTGGCATTTTTTTTTAAAACTAGAATAACCAGACGAGTGTTTACTCATAGAGAGGACATTATGAATAAAGCATAGTGACATATATGCATGAAAATACCATAATGAAGCCCAATACTAACTGGAAAAAATTAAAGAAACCAAAGCCAAAACCAAGAGTGGCTGGAGAGATGGCCCAGTGGTTAAGAGCTTGTAGTGCTCTTTCACAGAACCCAAGTTCAGTTCTTAGTACCCACATCTGGGGCTCACAACTGCCTGTGACTCCAGCTCCATGAGATCTAATATCCTTTTCTGGCCTCTTCATGCACAAGCTCTGCCTCCACAAATACACACATAACAACAAATAAACAAAAAGAAGACAGATGTTTGAAAATGGTATGAAGTAGAGCAGAACCATGGGGAAGGATGGTATAAGACCTAAAGTTTGAAAGAGTGAAGACAATCTATTCCTAGCCCGGAAGGAGTATGGTACAAGAGAACCTGGTAGGATAGTCAGATCAGAATCCCTCCCTGCTTATGTGTGGGTCTCAGCTGTTCTGCACTGAGATTTCCTGTGAGGTCCCATTGGCAGAACCCCAGTAGATAAGCCAAAGGGTTTGTAGTCCGATGGGTATAGTATTCACAGACTGAACTTCCAGGCCCCAAGCAGGGCAGCGTGAGGTCTTCTTGGAGGAGCAAACCTGGCACAAATGGGAAGGCTAGAATTAAAATGAAGTGCCTTGCTTGATGTACTTCATGAATGCTATTCCAAAGGTAACGATGCCTCAGCTACTGACACTGTAAACATACTTTCTGGCTCACTACTTTTTCCACTAATGGACAAGGCAGAGGTCTTGAGATCCCACACGTCCTCCTGAGGTGATGGGCTTAGACAATCCAAGGGTGATGAGGATAGTTCTCTCCCTCTTTGACTTCCCTGTACCTGAGAACGTACAACCTGCTCAGATAAGTCAGGGTTGGACTCCCTGCAGAAGATGAGAGGATAGAGGTAGGGATGAAGAAGGAAGGATATAGGGTTATGACAGGCTCAATCTCAAGTTAGATGAGAGAGCTAACAACAGAGAAGGGGCCCTAAACTGTGTGGACCAAATCCCCAGACCATTTAACAGTTCTAAAAATGTCTATGTTTTTAGACTGGTCCCATTCCTGGGCTGGTCCCATTCCTGACTAAGCACCATACCTTAGCACCATAGTCACAAGGACACCGATAGCTGGGCTCATTTTTTTCTGTTGAAAGTAGACTCTTTTTGCTCACTTGGCTGCAGAGGGAGGTGATCTGGGGTCAGGTAAAGTAGCCTGGCATGATAATAGATAGAGAGCTTAGATTCAGAAGCCAGGCTACTCAGCTTCCAGATCTACTCCTTACGACTTCTGTGACCTCAGGAAATTTACTCAACTTCCCTGGCTTTTAGGTTGCAGTAACAACCTCCAAGGTTCTTAGAGGAACCCTGTTATTATTTGCAAAGTTCTTTGAGCCCAGCCACATGGGAAACACTATACAAAGCAGTCTTGATCTGTCGACATAGAGACTCTGGACACTGCTTTTTTTCTTTATTATCTGCCAGTGTGTGCACAGCTACTAAAGGCTGTGTGTGATTTTAGGATGCTATGATAGAATTATCTCTAAGAAGGACAGACTGAATATGGAAGCTGAACATCACCTGTTCAGCTTAGGAAAATCACAAAGAGTAAGTCCCTAGCATGATTAGTGTTCACTTCTGTGGTAGGAAATTATCAAAGATGTAGCTCCTCTAGGCTGTGTAGGGTCATTCTGATCTGATGCCCAGACACAAGGTTTGAGCTGGCCTTTGGGGCCTTGCTGGAACACTATAGAATAGCCACCAACTGAGTAATTTTCTTCACTGGCTGAGAACAAACTCTGCCTTGGGCTGTCCAAGGTTTAAGAGTTGCACAGACAAGATGAAACAATTCTCATGTTTTAATTTTGGCTTCTCATCAGGAGGAATCTAAATCCTTTCATCAAGGCAAGAAGTTTCTTCAAAAGACATGCTGTTTTGTTCAAGAAGATTCTGCTCGGTCTCTTGTGTGCAGGTGAGATTATGGGAATTCATGGAAAGGGGAAACATAGACATTTTTAGAACTGTTAGCTTGTGTCAATATTATTGCTGGGTAAAAAGTAATATCACTCATAAATTAACCTACAGGCTATTTGAGATACAGATTTTAACTACCTGTAGGTAAGCCATAATTTATTGCCTCATACCCAGAAGGATAAGTAAAACAGAGAAAAGCTATACTTCAAAACTGTACTATTTAGGTGCCCTCTCTATATCTATATCTATATCCATATCTATATCTATATCTATATATCCTCTTTTTTAGTGCTTAGGTTTGACTCAGGGCACAGCTCTGTAGACTTTATGAAAGATGCCTGTCATACATAAATTATTTACTGGTTTATAATCAAAATCAGTGCTATATATTAGTTTTGAAAGTCAGAAACCTTGTTTGTAGTATGCTGTCAATGACACGTGAGACTTTGATTAGAGGCAGCTGGGATAGTGAGATCAAAAATTATCCTTGGAGGCGAATCTGGGAGCATTGAGAAAAACACCACATAGCTTTTCCTCCTTGTGGCAGCTCCTTTTACATCACTTAGCTCAAGAGAAAAGGTTAACCGTTTGACATTTCAACATAGCTGGGGTAAAAAAAAAAAAAAAAAAAAAAAAAAAAATTCAAGAAGAGGTGTCCAATTTCCGAAGCATCTAACAGTGGATATTGACCACATCTAAGGGATAGAGTGAGGACAGCAGCTAAAACAGAAGGGGACGAGACTTCACCCGGAGCAGAGAGGTTTGGCCTCATGCTCCATGGATGCTCAGTCATGCTGACTTTCACTCTCTTTGTAGCTTACGCTGCCTACTTCCTGGCAGCTTGCATCCTGAACTTCCAGAGGGCACTGGCATTATTTGTCATCACCTGTCTTGTAATCTTCATCCTGGCTTGCCACTTTCTGAAAAAAATTGTTGGTAAAAAATTAATAAGCTGTCTGAAGCCCTTTAGAAATCCCCGCCTGATACGCTGGGTGAAGTGGTAAGTGCAATCAGCTTTCTTGCTGCTTACAAAACACCTAAGAACAATGTGCAGGAGAGGCTGTTTCGGCTCGAGTTTCAGATGCTTAGCCTATGGCCTCTTAGCCTCGTCAATGTTGGCTAGTGATGGGCAGAATATCATTGTGGGACGTGAGCTGGTGAAGCAAAGCTGCTCACATCATGAAGACCAGGGGCAAAGAGAACAGGAAGGCAAGGGACCTGGGACAAGGTGAAACCTACAAGGGCATGTCCCCAGTGACCAATTTCCCCCAATGAGGCTCCACCTACAGCTTCTACCACCCCCAAATGGTCCTTTTAATTGTGAATGTATCAATGAACAATCTCAATTATGAGATGGAAGGCCTCTCTCTTGCCTCCTTTCTCTTCCCTTCCCCTTTCTTTCTCTTGTTTTTCTTTTCTTTTTATGGGACAAAGCCTCTAGTCCAGGTTGGCCTCAGAACTCTATGTAGCCAAGGATGACTTTGAACTTCTGATCCTCCTGCCTTTACCTCTTTGAGTGCTAGGGTTACAGGCATGTACCACCACACTCAGTTTATGGAACACTGGGGATTGAACCCAAGGCCATGCGCATCCTGGGCAAGCCTTCTACCAACTGAGCATCATAGCCATCTCATTTAACATTTTAACACTTTGACAGTTCCCGAGAGGGCTCCAGGCTCTTTCCTACACAAAGGCAAAGTGTAGAGTACACATAGCAATGGACCTTTGAGCTGCAAAGCCCAGTCCAGTTTCTTCTAGCCTTGGGTCAATATTACTGGTGCAGATGGAACTCCAGATTGGGGAGGAGTTTCAGTCTGAGATCCCAAGAGCCTATGACACACGTGAGAAAGCTCACGTTTCTCTTTAATGGGGTGGTTAGAGCAGAGACGTGCACTTCCATTATGCTACCAGCCAAGTTGCTTCTCTCTTCTCTCCTCCCCTCTAGTTTTCCAGAGCCCCTACCTGCTTTTGTGTTTGCAAACTAGATCAGTAGTTCTCAACCTTCCTAATGCTGTGACCCTTTAATACAGTTCTTCATGCCGTGGGGACCCTCACCCATAAAATTATTTTTCTCGCTACTTTGTAACTGTAATCTTGCTAGTGTTATGAATCATAGTATAAATATCTGATATATGAACCCCAAAGGGCTTGTGACCCACAGGTTAAGAACTATTGTCTTAGAGTCTAGGAGCAAACTTGAATTGTCATCAGCATAACTGAACTGGATTCTGCAGCAGCTGTAAGTTGATCTAACTATGCCATGTCCATGTGCACTGACTGTAGGCCAGACTTTCTAGAAAGTCCCTCTTTTCTCATTCTCCAATGAATGCACAGAAAATAGGTGTTCAATAATGATAATTTGGAGAAATAATATATAGCCATCGGTGTTGTATCACTGATTTATTTGACAATATGGGAGAAGGGAGAAGAAGCCAAATGAATTTATTCATTAAATAAACTTTTGGAAGCTGGATTTTATTCACTTTGAAAAAGGGATGTGTAGAAAAGAGCCACGCGTTCAGTCCAGTCCTGAGGTTCTTTTACTGCATTGCACTGGAGGTGTCATCTCAGTGACACAGCTTCTTTTGCTGCATTGTGCTGAAGGCATTGTCTCAGTGGATCATGTGTTTCCTTTTGTATTGCTTTCACCTGTGATCTCCTTTCTAATTCTCTTCATTTAGATTGAGGAAATTCATCTGTTGTTTTGTTTTTGAGAAAGGGTATGTGATGTAAGCCAGGTTGGCTTCAAACTAACTGTGAAGCTGAGGATGACTTTAACCTCTTTTTTAATTTTTCTATATGTGTACAAGTGTTTTATCTGCATGCACACATGTACACCACATGTGGTGACCACCGTGTTTAGAAGAGCTTCTGAGCCAGTTCTCCAATCCCAACTTTAAAATCTTGATCCTCCTGCCTCCACTTCTTAAGGCTTGCATCGCCATGACTGGCTCCTTATTTATTTTAGTAGGCTGGGAATTGGACCCAGGGTCTTGTACATTCTAGGCAAGTGCTCTGCTAAGCTACATCCCAAGCCGCCAGTCTCTGTATTGAAATACATTTGGTGCAAGTAAAGACGATACGTCCGTAAATGACTTATTTAATTTTCACCCTTGTAGTTGTTAAAATTGAGTAGCTATCCATCTGGGACTAATACATCCTCTCCTTGTTTTCAGTATTTTGATTGGTCATTAGAAGCACCTTCATGGGATGAATCTCTATATTAAACTTTATTGATATGGCTATATGAGAAAAGAGAAGTCATATGATTTATATCATCAGATTAGACACCCATTTCTATAAATTGGGGGGGGGAGAACAGAAGCTAGGGAAATAGCGGGTAATTCTCACCGTCCATCTCTGCCTAATCAGGAGTAAGCCATTGAGTTATCTCACTGAACCTCAGACTAAGCTGCCTGGCAGAGAGTTGTTGGTTGCTGGTTCGATGAGTGGTGACCTAGCTCTGGCATTCCACCCTTAGGGTATTCGCAGGAGCCTCTGTTGTTGGCCTTATCCTATGGCTGGCTCTCGACACAGCACAAAGGCCAGAGCAGCTGATCTCCTTTGCAGGAATCTGTATGTTCATCCTCATCCTCTTTGTCTTCTCCAAACACCATAGTGCGGTGAGTTTGGGGTATTTAGGTTGGGTCTAGTAACACACAGTAAGGGCTAAGTAGAAATTACAAAATATATGTGTCATTATAGAGACATAAAACTAAGTAACAACTCCTGGAATTTTATTCTCACAGTCTTATTCCTAGGAGAAGTTTGAAAGTTTTTAGAGACCCGCCTGTTAGTTGTTCTTGTGGCATGTATGGATCTATTCGGCACTAGAGAAAAATAAAAGAACATATAAATCAGGAAAGAAAGAAACTAGAATATGACAGAGAATCAGCTGGAAGTTATTTGTATACATGTATCATGAGTATCATGTAACCTATTTTAAAAATCTGTATGGACATAATTGTCTCTTTGCACAATGTCACCTTATTTTTCCTTGCCAGTCTCCCTGTTCCCTATGCCATTGCCTTGGGGTACTATTTCTGTGATGAAACACCATGACCAAAAGCAACTTGGGGAGAAAAAGGTTTATTTGGCTTATTCTTTCACATTCAAAATCCCAAAGGAATTGGGATCTTCAAAGGAAGTCAAGACAGGAACTCAAACAAGGCAGGGACCTGGAGGCAGGAGTTGATGCAGAAGCCATAGAGTAGTGTTGCTTATTGGTTTGTTCCTCATAGCTTGCTCAGTTTGCTTTCTTATAGGACCTAGGAGCCCCTGCCCAGGAATGGCAGCACCCACAATGGGCTGGACCCTCCCACATCAACCATTGTTTAAGAAAATGCCCCACAGACTTGCCTACAGCCCAATCTTATGAAGGCATTTTTACAATTGAGGTTCCTTCCCCTTAGATGACTTGTGTCAGGTTGACATAAAGCTAGCCAGCACAGCCGTGTTACCCTAGACACACTGTTAACACCCTCACTTAACTCCATTCCCAGCACAAGGTTGAACCAGGCAATGGCCAAGCAAGGTTTGGAACTCATGCTTGAATACTTTCTTTTGGATCCCAGGTGTGCTGGAGGACAGTGTTTTGGGGCCTGGGCCTTCAGTTCGTCTTTGGGATTTTGGTCATCAGAACTGAACCTGGATTTAATGCGTTTCAATGGTTGGGAGATCAGATCCAGGTACAGGGGATTGAGTGTCAGAGTTTCAATCGTCTGGAACCCTGGAGAATATAGATTTGAGGGAAGCAGGAGGCTTTGGGACTATGTCTTCATGGTGGTATTGGGGAAGCTGGTTGGGTAAAGAGAGAAAGTAATGGGATCAGGTGGGAATACAAGCCAAGAGAACTGATTTGCTGAGTCTGTCATTTTATGGCCGACTCTTGGGACATGGCCTGCTTACAGGTGATCACACCTGTGAGCACATCTTCCTCTGTGTCCTGCCTGTCCTAACTCTCACCCCTTATTCCCCCCCTTCAGATTTTCCTGGCTTATACCGTGGACGGCTCCAGTTTTGTTTTTGGTGATGCACTGGTCCAAAATGTTTTTGCTTTTCAGGTAATTCCTATTTTGTGGGCAGGGATGACAAAGCCGGTGAAAGGGTAGAGGCATAAAGCAGAGAGTGGTGGGTGTGTTCAAGAGGTCAGATGGTCTTTACCAGTTTGACCTAGAAAGAAGTCCACTCCCCCTCCCCCCCCATGATCCTTAACATCATGAAATTGATTGAAAGGTAGGTTCGGGGAGAGGCTCAGGAAATATCCCATGGTTCAGTACTGATAGGCTGACAGGTTTGCAGTACATTTTGAGCTTATTCCTAAACTGCATTGTGTCAAATGCCCTGGGGATTCCCAGAGCTTAATTTAGAGGCACACAGAGCTTGCTTGTGGCACACACAGCACATGCAGTACAATCTCTCACCTGTGGCCGCCATTCTCATTGCAGTCCTTGCCAATCATTATTTTCTTTGGATGTGTGATGTCTATTCTCTACTACCTGGGCCTTGTGCAGTGGGTGATTCAGAAGGTAAGTCCACGAAAGGACCTTCAGCTTGGACCTGTCAGGGGAATGGACGATGCTGATACTTTCTCTGGGGAAAATGATTCCACATGGGACATGGAGTCAGAATGGATGTGGGAAAGCACCCACCCCTTTAAGCATCCTGATACCCTTAGATAGACTGAGGCAGAACATGGTAAAAAGCTGGGCCAGACTGCCCTTTTATATTGGGTGTGATAGGCTTCATCTACAAGTCCCAGGGCCTGAGTTCTCTAATATGTTTGTAACTTGTTTGGACACTCTGTCACAGGATTTCCCTAGTTCTCAGTTTCCTTGCCAGGAAATGGAGTCATGGGAGGGGCTTTACTGGACGTTACCCAAGATTTCTGCTAACATAGATGATTTAGGAGTCTGGATTCTTGTAGATTGCCTGGTTTCTGCAAATCACCATGGGTACCACTGCTGCCGAAACCCTGGCTGTGGCAGGAAACATCTTTGTAGGAATGGTAAGTACTTGGGCCTTCTGCTTTTCTTTTCTCTTGAGAACAGAGAACTTGGCAGAAAACAAATTCAGAAAGAGGATTTTCCCTTCTTTCCTCCCCACCGCCTTCCTTTTGTCCTGAAACAGTCTCATGTAGCCCAGGCTGACCTCTCTCATTACATAGTTGAGCATGACCTTGAATTCCTGATTTCCCTGCCTCCACCTCCTGGGGACTAGGAGTGCCACTAAAGCACATGCCAGTAAACAGCTCGAAAAAAACACTTTTTTTGTTCGTTTGTTTTGTTTTTTCGAGACAGGGTTTCTCTGTGTAACAGTTCTGGCTGTCCTGGAACTCACAAAGATCCACCTGCCTCTGCCTCCCAAGTGCTGGGATTAAAGGCACTTTTTTTCTTATGAAAAGCCTGAGAAATGAAGATTGTGAAGCAGTTGGTCCCTTATGAAAGAAACCTCAGAGGGCCAAAGAGAATTTAATTCATTGCTTTCATCCTTGATGCCTAATCCACAGCCTAGACACACTATCTAAAAGGTGCTTAGCTACTGGTCCAGTTTCTTACATAGGAATATAGGTGAAAACTGTAGTCCAAACCTTATCCCCCTCAGGAGCTATCAAGGATGTTTGAGCTACCATCTAGTATCTTGGTGTGGCTCACTGTGATCCCCATTTTCTGAGGTCAGTGAAGAGGCAATGGCTTGTCTTGCTCAGGACTAACAGGGCTCTTCTCCAGAGGACTCTCTTAGTGCATCCGTCTGTGTGGAATAAAGGTGCTGTTTGTGTGGAATAGCTGTCCTTCCCTGTTGCTGAGATAAAATAGCCACCCCCCCCCCAAAAAAAAGCAAATTAGGGGAGAAATGGCTTATTCTTGACTCACAGTTTGAGAGTACAGTCGTCATGTTGGGAAGATCTCGGTGACAGAAACTTGAGGCAGCTGACATTGTTACATCCTGTCAGGAAGCAGAGAATGGTGTTTGTGCCCAGCTAGCTTCCTCTTTAATGCAACCCAGAACCCAAGCCTAGGGAATGGTGCTACTCACTGTTAAAGTGGGTCTTCCTCTCTCAGTTAACCTAATTAAAGCAGCCTCTAGAAGGCTGACCTAATCAAGATAATCCTCACAGGCATTCCTAGAGTCTTGGCTCCTAGACGTTTCTGTCAACTGTTGATAATGAGTGTTAGCCATTAGTGTTAAATATTTGCTACTGACTGACCAAATCACCACCAGGGATGCTCATTTTTCAAAGGGGCAAGAAGTTAACTAACATTGAGGTCTTTTTCTTCCAAAGTCTTAGGCTGATTATCTGCTTTTGATATGTTTTCAGAGTACTTCTGATGCTTCTACCATAGGCCTCAATTTTTGCTAAAATGATCTACAATCAGTTTTGCATTAATGATCTTGTAGTGGCTAGATCCTTTTGTTGTCATTCACTAAAGGATAAACGACATCCTAGATTGAGGCTAGGTGATTTCTTAGCTGAATCTTCCTAATTAATAAAAACTTTACAGACATTTCTTTGTTAATTTATTAACATTTATTTAATGACACTCTCTCTCTCCCTCTCTCTCTCTCTCTCTCTCTCTCTCTCTCTCTGTGTGTGTGTGTGTGTGTGTGTGTGTGTGTGTATAAGCATTTGTGTGCCATGACACTCATGTGGAGGTCAGAGGACAACTTGTGGAAGTCATTTCTCTCCTTCTACCATGTAGGTTCTAGATACTGAACTCAGGTCTTCAGGCTGAGCTTTCTTGGTTGCCTGGTATTATTATTATTATTATTATTATTATTATTATTATTATTTCTTTATTACTGGCTTAGATAAGTTATTTTCAGTTCATTTAATGCATATTTTGTGGACATCTAGTGTGTGGCTAGTAAGTCCACCATACTACGTAATTCACCCAGTAAGTGTGTGGATTTGGACATGGTAAACAAAATAAATGAATACCAGTTGTCTACAGTATTTTATAACATGCTACGGAAAGAGGTGAAAACACAGTCAGCAAGGAGATGGTTGGGCAGGTCTGAAGCCTAAGGGCAAGATTATTTGTTCACTGGCCGAAAGGCCATGCATCTGATGGGTCAGTTCCCTGCCTAGGATAAACACTTTGATATGGGGCATGTGACTCTTGGTATGTGATGGGTTTTTTTTGTTTGTTTTTAGACAGAGGCACCTCTGCTCATCCGTCCCTACCTTGCAGACATGACCCTCTCTGAAATCCATGCAGTAATGACTGGAGGCTTTGCTACCATTGCGGGCACTGTGTTGGGAGCCTTCATATCCTTTGGGGTGAGGCACAGTTCGAATTATCTCTCCTGGTGCACCCATGTTGAGCCCCGCAGTGGTGCCAATCCCCCGTCTGGCCTTACAGATTGATGCGTCATCCTTGATTTCTGCCTCAGTGATGGCTGCGCCTTGCGCACTTGCCTTGTCCAAACTGGTGTATCCGGAAGTAGAGGAGTCCAAGTTCAAGAGCAAGGAGGGAGTGAAACTGCCCGATAGGTGAGCCAGGGGAAGTGTATAATTTGGGAGATGGGAAGGTGTGCTACCTAGAGAGGCCTTGCATTGGTAGAGACTTCTAGTCACCCTGAAGGAAGAATGGTATTCCATGTCTCCTTTTGCTATCTCTGCATCCAGCTTGTCATTTTTGTCTTGTTTTGATTTAACCTTCCCACCTAGCATTAACTCCTTCGGCAATTACTCCATGTCCTTGGCATCACACTGTCTTGGCCATAACATCTGAATCACTTCAGAGTAAGGGATCCCATCACCTCTCACACTTCAGGGGCAATGGACTTCTCTTCTCTGAGGAGCTGAGGTAGCATATACTTTATGCCCAATAACCACAGGGAGGAGAGGAATATCCTGGAAGCTGCGAGCAATGGAGCCACAGATGCCATAGCCCTTGTTGCTAACGTTGCTGCCAACCTGATTGCCTTTTTGGCTGTGTTGGCCTTTGTCAATTCTACCCTTTCCTGGCTGGGGGAAATGGTGGATATACATGGACTCTCTTTTCAGGTAAGTCTTATATGTGTTGGCCATGTTTTCCTGACCCACAGTAAGCCAAGAGAAAGCCTGAGCAGAAGAGGGAGGGGTAAAGAGGGGACAGCTGAGTCTCCAGGGAGGCTCCTGGTACCTGACCATTGTCTGTTCTTTCTCTTCCACTTAGGTCATCTGCTCCTATGTCCTTCGGCCCATGGTTTTCATGATGGGTGTAGAGTGGGCAGACTGTCCACTGGTGGCTGAGATAGTGGGAGTCAAATTCTTTATAAATGAATTTGTGGCCTATCAACAACTGTCTCAGTACAAGAACAAACGGCTCTCTGGAGTAGAAGAGTGGATCAATGGCGAGAAACAGTGGATTTCTGTAAGTTGTGATGTTCCAGAAACATCACAGAGTGAAAGGTTTGGGCCATGCATATCCCAGGGAAGGCACAAAGTTCCACACAGATGCTATAGGCCCACAGGATTTCCCAGGGTCCTAGCCTAACCACAAGACAAGCAGAAGCTTATGTCTTAGTACCGAGCTTCCACCCCAGGTCTGTGTGTTATTTCTCTTCTGAATTTGGCCCAGTTTTGATCTATAAGATAATTGTTGCTTCCTTACATTGGGACAGTCCAGGGAACACACATTTTGGATGTTCTGAAGTCCCTTTGTTTACACATTCAAATTGCTAGGAATTGATCTTCTATACATCTTCTTGTCTCTTTTCTCCTTATCTTTAATAAGAACAGTGCTGGGCAAGGAGTCTTGTGGTATTGCCACATCTAGACAGCTGTTGTAACTCAGGGGCCAGTTATTTTCCGAGCATCTTTTATGGTTCTGTAGAAGACTGTAAGAAAGACTTGGTGTGCCCTGGAACTTCTACCATGGTTGTGAGACACAGCAGGACTGAACGTATCTACTTGTTTTTTTCCCCAGGTGAAAGCTGAAATTATTGCAACATTTTCACTCTGTGGATTTGCCAATCTGACTTCCATAGGAATCACACTGGGAGGCTTGAGTGAGTTGTTAAATTCTCCCAGGTTCCCAGGACACCAGACAGCTTGCAACCTTTGCTCACTGCAAAGCTGAGGCTAAGCATAGATGCTGATATGAAGTGGGCCTCTGAGGCCACGTGTAACTCAGAGCTCGTGCAGTCAGGCTGACTATTGGTTGAGTCCTTTACAATTAAAGCTCTATTTGTGTCTTCTCTTTCCTGCCAAGGCACAAAGAGGGTTTATTTTTATTTTCCTAACAAAGGGAGAAGTTATTAAAATGGTATTTCTATCTTGCCATTAAACTGCCAAAGGTACTTTCTGAAATTAAGCTACTCAATACTTTTGTTTTTCCAAAAAAAGTGATATTTGTATAGGAATCAAAAAAGAAAGAAATGAAAGGAGACAAAAAAGCAAATAAATAGAAAAAGTGAGTATTGTACATTGTCAGATTAACCGCTATGAGTCCTGGAGTACAGAGGGCTGATTAGTTTAAGCAGCGTCATTCTGATTGCTGGAGAGACTCCAGGAGATAGGGAGTGGTCCTGGAGGGCAGAGTCTATCAGAAACCCAAGCGCCTGGAAGAGACAAGTTAGAAATGGGTCTTAGAAGAAATAGAATATGAAAAGAATGTGTGAAAAATGCCATTTCTGGTAATCATATTCTGGGATGGGATTATTAAATTTATTTCCTTGATAGCTGCTTAAACATTTGAAAGTGAAGCAATTTCCTTTTGGCTTATCTTTCCCCTTCTGTTAAACACCTGTCCATGTTGTTCTACTTCTGCTACTTGGTAGCTGTGATTCTGGAGGCTAGGGTGAGATGGATGCTGCCCTTTCTCGTCCTCTGGCTTGCAACCGTCCATCTAATTCCAGTCTAGACTTAAGAGTATATATCTCAACTGGCATACACCAGGCATGTACTTGCTAGAATCCGCTCAGAGCCTTGCTTGACTCAAATATATCTGAATTAGATTCCAGAACCACTGAGGTGAGGATCAGATATACAATCTTTGACCCAGGAAAAGTATGAGTTCTTTATCAAGACTAATGTATGTACACACCTCTTTAGGACAGCTTTAGCAGCCTTAGGTGGTTGGCCATAGGATACCACTCGCCTGTTGTGTTGTGGTTTTTTCCCCCTTACCTTCTTCTGAATGAGGACTCATGGGCTACCCCTCTTTGCTGTATGGGGAAGACATCCAACTGCTTTCTTTTGTTGCCCATAGCGTCGATGATGCCCCAGCGGAAGAGTGACTTGTGCAAGCTTGTGGTCAGGGCCCTCTTCACGGGCGCTTGTGTTTCCTTTATCAGTGCCTGCATGGCAGGTAGGTGCCTAAGAGCTGTCTCTGGCAGAGATCACAGCATCTCTCTCAGAAAATTCTCTTCACTAACTATCCATCCCATAGTCACCTCATCCATAGTGTTAGCAACTCCCAACCAAACAATAAAGAACTTTGGGGACCATGTGCCAAGTCTTCCTCCTTCACGTAATGCCTGTCTCCTTTGTGCAGGAATCCTCTATGTTCCCAGGGGAGCTGAAGCTGACTGTGTCTCATTCCTAAGCACAGGCTTCACCAACAGAACCTACGAGACCTACGTGTGCTGCAGAGAGCTTTTCCACAAGTAGGTGAACTCCACAGTTCCTGCTCGACTTCTGGATGTTAGAGATAGGAGGTCTTGCGTCTAGTCCTGTGTACATTGTATGGAGTCTATTAGGCACAACATGAGTGTTGGTGACAGTCTCCACCTGTAGTCTTTTCTCTCATTATCTTTGGTATATTAGCCCTACAGCTCTGTTTATTGGCAGCATGTGGAGGAAGTTACTATATTTATTGAAATATAGTTCATAGGTGATGATTTTACAGGAGTCCTACTTGGTAAAACTCGGAGGGTTTTTTTTTTTTTTTTTCAGATAGAAATGGAGCAGACTATCAGGCATGGTGGTGCACGCCTTTTGTCCCAACACTCGGGAGGCAGATGCAGGTGGTTCTCTGTTGAGTTTAAGGCCAGCCTGGTCTACAAGAGCTAGTTCCAGAACAGTCTCCAAAAGCTACACAGAGAAATCCTGACTCAAAAAAAAAAAAAAAAGAAAGAAAGAAAGAAGGACCAGGAGAAGACAAATGGACAAATTTACAAGATAAACAGATAACTTCTAGTTCAGATAGTGTAAAGGTAATCTCATTTATTACATTCTAGAATATGAAAAGGACCTATCACTGAGACAAAGAACTGGTTTGGGGACACATAAAAGGAAGGCATGAGGAATTGGAATATTTACACATGTGCCCTGGTTGAAGTCTGCAGGGATAGGGAGAGCTTTAGGAAGCAAAGCTGGCACAGCAGAAAGGCCTGTGTGAGAGTCTAGAGAAGCTAGGCTTGGACGTGCAGGGTTCTGGACAACAGCATGGTTAGCTGCGATTTACATAAGGACATTTTGATAACAAGGAGAGCAAACACATGCTGTAACAGTCTCAGCAAGAGGTGGTGAGATGCTTAAAGGTACAGGTACACTATACCAAGCAGAGTCAACAGGACTGGTGGTCCTCAACTAGATAGGAGCAAGGCCCAGGGTGAGGAGGAGAAAGAACGCTCTTATCTGTCCTGAGTCAGTGTGTTCATGACAATGAGAGCAGGACCAGAACAGGAACAGGAGTAAAAGAGAAAGGCGTGGCCTCCTCCAGTCCTGGATTTGTTAATTTGGAGGTTCCTGTGTGAACACCATATAAAGTCACTCACAAATCAGCTGGAGTCTGGGACTCAGGGAGAAACCAGAGCTGGAGTCTGCTTAGGAGGTGATGTATATGCAAGTGATCTGTTCCCTGTGGGGCATTCAGATGTTAGCTGCATAGCAGATCAGGAAATAAAGTAAAAGTTTTGGGTATTGTTAAAGAGGAATTTATAAACTGGATAGGTCTTTAGTCTGGTGTGTGTGTTCTCAGTGGATTTTCTAAAGCCACATTCTAAGAGCCATTAGCAGCTAGAACCTGAAAGAAATGTCTTTGGACTGGAGGGAATGAATGGTTAGCATGCTGTTAGCGGTTAGCATGCTGCTCTTGCTGAGGACCTCAGAGCACGCATGCACGCCGGGTAGCTTCTGACCAGCTGCAACTCCAGCTCCAGAAGGGTCCATGCTTAAGAACTCCGAAGGCACCTGCTCTCACATGCATACATCCACACCCACACATAGACATCTAAGTTGAAGAAACTAAAAGATGGATATATATATATATATATATATGTATATATATATATATATACACATACACACATATGTATGTATACCTATACATACACACATGCACACGTATGTAATGATAATAACTGAAGAAAAAGGATACTAACTTGAGAGGGGAATATGGAGGGCATGAGGGAGTGTAGTTGGGGGGACTAGAGGGAGGAAAGAGGGAAGTGGTGTAATTCTACTTCAATTTGAAGAAAATGAAAATTAAAGAAATTCAAAAGAGAAATATCTTTGCCTAATTAATTTATACCAGTTAAATGTAAGCATTTGTCTTTCTCAAAAGGAAAGTTGTCTTAGGTTATCAGCTTGTTTTAAAAATTCAAATCAATTCTAGATCGTTTATAAGGCATTCATTTTGTCTCAGCTGTCTGGAAATGTTATTTCTAACTGGACTGACGTTAGGAGGTGGCCATAGGGCAGACACTGGACACAATTCCATGCTAGCATTAACTAAAGTGTGAGCAGCAAAATATATTTAAGTGGAGCTCATTTCATTGGCTGTAGCCAACAGACCCACTCACAAGTTTGGGGTTCTGTTCTCAGCTACTTGATAAAACTTGATACATTGCTCTGCCTTGTCTGTGTCTGACGCATGCGCATCTCCTTGGCTTTATCGTTTCAGTACGTGGCTGAATGGCACCAACATGCCTTCTTTCTCGGGTCCCTGGGAAGACAAGGAGTTCAGCGCCATGAATCTTGCTACCTGCTGTGACCTCTACAACAGCACTGTCTGTGTATGAGGCTGGCAGGGCCATTTCCACGACAGAACGGGTTTGCGTCGCCAAACACACACTGAAGCTTCAAATTCTACAAGGATCACACTAGAATCCACCATGTGAAAGTTCTGGATTCACTGTAGTCCTGCATAAAAGTCAGCACACACCTTTTCACTGGGGTGCCAAATCCCAGACAGGAATTACCTCATGGGCCCTTCTGGGCCAAATTATGGTAGGAAAGCAGCTAAGGGGGAAAATATCTGTGTGGTAAGGGCCAAGATGCAGGTTCAATCCCTGACCCGGCCTGGAGTCTCAAGAGTGAGTAAATCCGAAGTAGATGCTTAGATTTTAATGTGGAAAGGTGGCAGACCCCTGTGATCATAAGGATAAGACTACAGCTAAGGAGGATGGCCTCAGCCTGGGTTACAGAGTGAGATACTGTTTCAAAACCTAAAAGTGTTTCATAAAAGTGATGTAGTATACCATGTGTCCTTGGGAAGATATGGAGGTGAAGAACTGTATTTCTAAAGTTCTGTGTGAAACGCATATGGCTATTTAAAAATAAGTTTTTTTCCTGTTGCCAAATATTTGTAAACTTGAAAATTCCTTACCATTCTCACACAGTAAGAGAAATGTTCCCTGTACATAAAATGCTTTTTTAAAAGAGGATTTATTTCATTTTTTAAATTGTGTGTGTGCTGTGTGTGGGGTTTATATGTGTATGAGTGTAGGTGCCAGAGAAGGCCAAACGTGGGGCCACCTGGAGCTGGAGTTACAGGTAGCTGTGCCACCAGATGTGGATACTTGGAGATGCAGTCAGGTCCTCTGCAGGAACAGTACACAACCACAGAGCCATCTCTCCAGCCCTCTGTCTATAAAATTCTAAGGGTTACCCATGTGAAAGGCCTTTACTTTGTTTGGCATTCTCCTTCAGTGCCAGCTACCTGTGTCTCAGGTTTACAGAAGATCCATTACAAATAGTTCTGGCTCACCTTGTAAAAAATGCTTGCCCAGTGGCCTGAGTTAGATCCTGCGAGGACTTCTCAGAGCAGAAATGGTTTGGGGGCACTTACAACCAGGGCTACTTAACAATTACAGCAGCCTCACTGCTCTTAGCTTCAACTCAGTAAGGGGCCAAGCAAGGTGACACGTGCCTTGGATCTCTGTGAGTTCAAGGTCACATTGGTTTACATAGTGAGTTTCAGAATAGCCAGGGCTACATAGGGAGACCTTGTCTCAAATAACCAGAAGGAAAAGCCAAACCAAACACAAAAGAGAGTCTGCTGTACTTATTATGGTCTGGTGCCGGTGCTCTGCTGCAGAATCCAGGAGCTGTCCAGTGTAGGCAAGTGGCAGAGGAAGTGCCATAGAGGGTTCCAAGGACATCAAATTAGCTAGTCCTTTGTGCTGCTTCTGTGTGGGGTTCTAGGGATTGAATTCAGGGGTTTGGGTGCTCATGTTTGCACAGCAAATACTTTACCAAATGACCCATCTCTCTATCCCAAGAGTAGTTGTGTGTGTGTGTGTGTGTGTGTGTGTGTGTGTGTGTGTGTGTGTCTGTGTCTGTGTCTGTGTCTGTGTCTGTGTGTCTGTCTGTCTGTCTGTCTGTCCAAGCATCCAGGCATGAATGTGAGGAATAAATTTCTATTGTTTAAAAGTCACTTGGTCTAATGCATACATCTACCATAAGTGTATTCTATTCCTTTCTAGAGGTACCTGGCACCATGGCCTGCACATGTCCACTCCTCTCCTAGTTAGACTCAGAAGGTCAGGAATAAAGGATGGGTTAGGTTGGGCTAGAGTTTGCTGAAGGGTACAGACAGAAAGCCCCATGCTACAGTTAAGGTACAACTCTAAGGTTCAGAATATACACTCTTACATAATGAAGGCAACAGAGGAAACCAGGTCTTCAAATGGCTCCTAGTGTGAAAAGCAGTTGTTTGGAACAATCCATCCCAGTAGATGAGAGCCTGGAAAGTGAGGAAACATTTGAGAAAGAAACAGATATGTCTAGGACTGCACACAGTACAATTTATTAGAGATACCTATGAGTAGATGCATGTACTGACTGACAGTGAGAATTGAGGGTTTATGCACCCCAAACAGGAGGAAGGGTTTAAATGAGACAAAGATATACAACAGCCAATCAGAATGTGACTGTTCTTTCTCAGAGACTATTCATGTGTCCAGTGTCAGTCAAGAAACAGTCTAGGGGCCAGCAGCATGGCTCAGTGGGTAGAAGCGCTTACCTCAAAGCCCTGATGGCCAGAGTTCAATTTCTGCAACCCACGCAAAGCTGAAAGGAGGGAACTGACTCCAAAAATATGCCCCCCTGGCCTCTGCACTCATTCTGTGTGCTCTCTCTTATATACACCATAGATATGGTAATAAGTAAAACATTGCAAAATAAAAATAAGAAAGAGTCTTGACATCTTGGCTGGCATAGCATGCTCAGCCTTTTTAACTCTGTCTCATAGAGTTTGGAGTGTATGCCAGGGTCATCTGGCAGAAAAAATGGCAGTTCCAGCCAAATGGCGACAGTCAAGCTGAATCTCTACAGGCAGATGCTCAGGCAGACATTTTGTAGCAACAGGAGAGCAAGTGTCAGGAGATTTGCTGGGAGCCATTTCCCCACAGCTTACATTTTCACTAGACCAAACAGCTTTGATCAGTTTCTAGAAAAGCAAAAGTTACATAGTTTTTTCAAGGCTCAAAATTCTCTTTGTCCCTCTCTCAAGGCTGGCACCTGTTGCGTTCCCCACCAGGCTACCCTTGGGTGTAAGAATATTTCCCATGTATTTGAAGCAAGAAGCGAAGCAGACTACTGGAGTAATTTTTAACAAGCACAGAGAACTGGGATTTTTGCTGGCATCATATTTCCTGTTGTCAAGAGCTGTTGCTCCCTCAAGAGAGGCAAACATTATGTCTGTGGAACTGAGAGCCTCATAAAAAACAATTGGCAAGGATAGCTGCTCCCTTTCCATGGCAACACGACTTGGTTGTGAATTATTCATCAAATGAAAGATATTTCCTTATGGCTAAGCAAACGCAAAGGAAAATGTAGCAAATTCTCCAAAGACAGCAGCATTATTCTTATATTTGACATTTGAGTTTCTCTCTGCATGGTTTCAGAAGAAAATCTATGAACCCTGTGATTGGGCGAACTATCCTTCAGCTACAGGACTGCCATTTATAAAACAAAACTAATATCAAGTTATTTCCTTGGTGGCTTTCAGAGACCAGTCAAATATTTAAAAGGTTGAAAGATGGATAGACAATGTAAGGTCTCAGTAGCCACTCACGGCTGCCTGGAGGGAATCACTGTCATGTGGATTTGCTGAAACCACTCGCTGTGTGGCTGGCCCTCGCTGACCATGGCCTACAGCATTGCAGAACCAGCCAGATCTCATTGGCTGTATTTCTGACTGACATTTTGGCACAATAGTGCATAAACAAGACTTAGACAAGATAGGTGCTCCAGCCAGCCATGTTATGCATTCAACAGCCATGCCATAAAACTCAAGAATTACTGTTAATGGCAATACTTACTATTTAATGAGTACTTGCTGCAGAATGCCAGGCACTAGGTATTCCTCGGCCATGGGTCTCCGCACCTCTATGTTGTCTCTTATAACCGTAAATCCAAAGTCAGTGCTTCCAGGAAGGAGGGCTGAAGCTCCTGGACACCGGCCACAATGGCCTTCAGAGACTCTGGCTTTCTCAGAAGCCTCTTGGAGGCACGACAGACCTCAGGTGAACTCTCAGAGGCACCTTGGAAGATCAAGCCACCCACTTGGTCTGTGGTGAAGTGATGGCCTTCTTGGTGACATGCCATTTTACCTTGGTTGTCACTTTTTCCCTGCTTTCCTTTCTCCTTACCCCTCCGAATTTTCTTCTTTCAGATGCAAACTAATGAATCACTGTCATAAAAAAGAGGGATTGTTGTGTGAATTTTATACTCTGATTTGGGGGAGAGGTATCCTAGGCTAAAAGCATCTGGATGCCATAAGCGGTCCTTGGGAACAGATGCTCAGAGTAAGATTTTGGGGCTGACAGCTCAGCCACACCTGTCTGAAGTATCAGGAGCGGTTTCTTTGGTGATGGTACAGAAAAAAAGTCCAGGCCACACCTCGATCACTACAGCTTTGAGATGAAGAGCAGGTAGAAGAAGAAAAATTGGGAAGGCGAGGCTTGGGCCTGAAAGGAATGCTGGGAAGGTGAGGCTTGGGCCTGAAAGGAATGCTGGGAAGGTGAGGCTTGGGCCTGAAAGGAATGCTGGGAAGGTGAGGCTTGGGCCTGAAAGGAATGCTGGGAAGGTGAGGCTTGGGCCCGAAGGGAACTCTGGACTTGCTTGGCACAGGGGTGACGAAAATGATGATAGGACTAGAGAGCAGATGGTTTTGAACAGCATATTAACACTCTGCAAAAAGAAAATGGTCTAACAGCTCAAGAGCTTCCATGAGCGAGGACTTATCTCTTGCCACGGCAGATTAGACACTTGAAAATTTGAGGTTGAGGACCCAGAGCAGCTGCCCACGACATCAAAGGCAAATCTTCAGCAGCTCTCTCTTTTCAATCTCTTTCAGATAGAAAATGTGAGGCTTTAAAACGTGGAGAGGAAACGTTCTGGTGCATCAGCTTCAGAATCTTAAGATTCCAAGATTGTCCAGGAATCTTCCTGGCCGGCCGAAGCAATTAAGTCTTGACAAAGAAAATCGAGTTCCCCTTGACTGAAGAAGACACAGGGATTGAGTGAAACAAGAAAAACAAGGTGAGATAACTTGTGCCTCCAGTATCTTTGCCTCTGGGGTGACAACCAGTGTTGGAGCTCAGCACAGCCCAAGAAGGAAAGTAGTTTCTGCTCTTTCCAGAAAGAACTAAGCTAGGCTGTGTGTGACTCTCAGGACCTGGGGAATGTGTGAGAGTCAGAGTAAGGTGAGCTAGATCTCAAAAGTGTGAAGACTTGGGCAGGGGGTGGAGAAGGATGGTGTATTGAACAAGGTTCTGTAGAATAGGGTTCTTTGAGACGAGGGCATCTACGCATGAACTTTTATTTGGTGTCTGTCACTATGCTCTCGTGGACACACCCTGGCAATCAAGCCAAAGCTTCATTATTTTGCTATGGTGGTTCCATGAAATTGGACAGGAGGTAGAAATACCAGAAACACTATTTTGAGGAGGAAATCAAAAGTGCGAATTTTAGAAGGAAAATGATAATATTGGGATAAATTTTCTGTGTTACACTTGGGAAGCTGCCACCTGACTACACTTTAGTGGAATGTAAGAAGCTTCCTTTTGTAAGGAATAAAGAACCCACTGAGAAAGGGACACCAGTGTCGTTTGTTAGTCAGTACCAAAAGTGGAGGATGCTGTTGTAAAATTGGGATCCTTAACATCAAAGGAGGTGATGGGGTTCTAGAATAACAGACCAGAAGCTAGCACTTAACTAACAAAGAGAGTACACACAGCCATTACAAAGTACAACAGAGCCCAGGCAGGAGTCTTGGCCTGCAAGGAAGTTTTGCAATGATCAATAGATTATGACACTCCTTTAAAAGTTTTTTTTTGTAGTGTGTGTGTGTGTGTGTGTGTGTGTGTGTGTGTGTGTTTGTGT